CCCCAAAATTGCATTACAAATATGATTATGGAGAATAAATTGCACTAATTGAGAGGTTGGGCCCGTTGCAGGTTTTTAAATGGCCTTCACTTTTCCTTGGCCTGCTTAGAAATTTTATTTCTTTACAATGCATAGCCAAAATTACCGGCAGTACTTGCCATGATAATATTAGTTTGGGAGCCAAAGAATAAAGATTTGATACAAACCAGCAATTACACGGCTAGGGTAACATCATTGCCAGCCAAGCGGTACATTGCGGCCGTGGTCACAATAATAGCTGTTAATAACCACAGACTTACAGAAAGGAAAGTTCTCGGCTAAGGAGGCCCAATTTGCAATAAGGTACAAACATAATGACAAGGACCCAGCGAAGGGAGGCAATTCCAGGAGACAGCATGACCGTGGGCTCACTTCACTTGATAATGCAGTGAGATGAACGATAGCTATCAGCCTGCATAGCGAGAGTTGCAACCAGATTTGAAAGACTGGCATTGAAAGGCAGGTGAGCCAGAAAAAAAGGAACGTTCAAGCAGTCGTTATAGTGATGTAGGTTGATTGGTTAAACAGAAAGATGGTCAATCAAGAAGCTTTGCGCACCAGAGCAGGTGTTACCAAACGTCCACAAATGTAAATTAAAAATTGCAATATATTTTTTGGAGTTTCTCAGATTATGATTCCAAGCATTTAAGTCATCACAATGTGTTTCCCCGCACTGAACAATGTAAATAAAAAAGAGAACATAGTTAATACTTGATATTTAGGTATGGCATAAAACCACTTTATTATGAAATAAGCGCAGGACGCACAAAAGTGATGTTTTTCCCAAGAGCAGAGTTGAAAAGCTCCATTTGAAGACTTTCTGTCAATGTTTTTCTATTTTCAGCACAGCAGATCATGTAGAGACTTGTCCCAGCTTTTGTTTCAGTTGGAGTCAGGTTTCTGATGACAGAGCTGTGGCAAGCTTTAACCATCTAGTGACAAATGGCTGGTAAGGGAAGCAGTGCACTCCTGTGTTTCTGTCAGTTATAGCACATGGTCTATTCCCCTATGTCTACTGTACAGTTTCTCTACCTGGGCCCGAGGACCCACATGGGGTCACTGGGTGTGCAGAAGGGGTCGTGGTAGAGACTGATATTAATGATACAGTTTAAATCAAAAAAAGTAGTGCCAAAAACTATTGGTTTTGTGGTTCTAAACATATGTTAAAACACATCTGGTAGTGTGTGTGTGTGTGTGTGTGTGTGTGTGTGTGATTGGTAAACTCTGTACTGTAAAAATACTGTACTCTCAGCATAGTTTATTATTACATGAATATTCTGGTACAAACATTCACCCACCAATATGGCGAGAAGAGATGTACTCGCCAAACAAAAATTCTACCCACATTTGGGGCTTGGCGGTTGTTAATCTGGGATCACAGTCAAATGAGAGATTTCTTGCTTGTACAGTTTGGTTAGTGCTCATCTTACTGGTGTGAAGTTGGTGGCACTCAGTAGGAAAAAGGTGAATTTGAAAATTACTGAAAGTTATTGTAAATTATGCGCAAAAGGGTATTACGTTAATGGTTCAAAAATGTCATCACATTATTTGCCAGTTATTGCATGATCAACTATTATTTCATTAAGAATAGAAAAATGACTACGTTATTGGCAGTTATTACATTAAAAGTACATTATTGGCTGCTACAGATAATCTCATTTTTGAGCCATTAGCCCAGCTACAACATAATCAGTCAAAAAAATTTAAGAGCATAAATGTGCTTCTACTGTAAATATGCCACCGGACATCCTACCCTTCCAGTGCATGGATTCATTAAGGAGAAGTGGGTTTGAGAACTGGCATCGGAGGCAGGGCTCCATTTACTCCTATTACAGCTGCTCAGTGGTGCATCAAGTCAAAAAGGGATACATTAAATACACGATTTCACTTGACGCTGTCAACCTTGCTGTTCTTGTTCTGCTGTTTGGCTATTAGTGTTAAGGTTAATTGAGATAAACAAAATACTTTTTTAATTACTTGTACGTGTTCACATGCTTGGCCAATAAAGCTTGATTCGGATAGAACACAAGGTTGTTGCCATGACAGTAGCTACTGTAGTAACTCCATTGTGAAACTGTCAAAAGTGCAGTGATTTATACACAGGACTGTGTTGTCTTCTCTAGATAGAGAAGAGCTCTTCTCTCTCTCTCACTGGTGACAGAGCTCTGTCCAGGTTTAACTGTCTTGACAGGAGTGGCTACTAAGAGAAGCAGTCCTCTTTATTTCTGTCAAATAAGGGTCAATGCCTGTTCCCCTGTGTATGTTGTATGTAAGTTACTCATCATCAGACAAATCAATCTTACTTAGCACAAATGTATAGAGCACCTATAACGCACTCTGTGATATCTGTTATTATATTTCAGTGAAATATATTTTGTATAGTTATTGTAAGAGAAGACAATGAATACAAATCGCTGATATATTTTTCATAGTTGCAATTACAAATAAATTTGAGCTTGATTAAAATTGCATTGTAACAAGAGTAAGACTGTAAAGCAATAGCAGCCCTGTCATGCTGTACTTAGCCACAAAGCTTATGAACAGTAATAACTATGGCCACCCCTGAATTTTCATCTAGTGCCACTAATGGTATTTCCACCAGCCTCAGTTATGCTGTAGGTTTAGTGCTAATTAGCTAATATTGATGCAAAAAATAGAATAGATTCCTAGTCTTGTTTTATTATATGTCATTTAAAAAAGCAAAATTATTTTCTAGATGTAGAAAAAACACTAAATCGTGATGCACACAAACACCAAAACACATGAGACAATAGCCAAGTTATCATTGTTTTACAAATACACAATTCAGCTTCTTTATAAGGTTTGGATTTTTCACCAAAGATATGAAAATAACTTCCAAATACACAGTAGACTGGACACAGTATCTTGCGTACAGAGAAAAAAAAGAAATTGGTAACAATAAATTCGCTCAAGTATTGCTTGAAGGAGGCAAACATACAGCACGTTTTTTCTTTATCTGCTCACAAAATGATGTTACTCTGAAGATCAATTTCCGTTTAGGCTACTGTTTTATTCTATGACCCAGCTTCTTTGTTGTACAAAGAACAAATTACACATTTTGCTTTTAAATAACTGCCAGCATATAAAGACAATAATAGGTAAGCTTATATTCAGTTATCTTTTTCAAACATTTATATATTCTTTCAACTTTCTTCTACTATACTTCTTTGTAAAGCACACAGATTTTTTTGTGGATTATGTTGACAACTAGTAAAACATAAAACTCAATAAATTTGTCTTTAGATAAATAACATCTTTAAACATTCCTATGAAAACATTATCAACTGCTGAAATCACGTCATAGCTTTTATCACACAGGCAGAAACTGATGGGCTCACACTGTAGGAATATTGTGTGGTATTATCTTTAAGAAGAGTGTTTAATTTCAAGACTTGTTGCAAAATATCTACTTGATTCATAGACCAGAATTTTATAAGCAAAGACTAATTGTCACATTGTTGTTGTAATTTTGGATTGCACTCTGATTTTAAACAACTTTTTTATAGATTCTTTGATTTCTTGTGTCTGCAGAACATAAATGATTGGGTTCAACATGGGAGGAAAGACAGAGGTCAAAGACAAGTTTATGATCCTGGCATTTGGATGTATATTTCCCATCAAGGTAAATGTGATTAATAGTGGGATGAAATAAATTGCCACCAGTGAGAGATGTCCTATACACGTTTTAAAGGCCTTAAATCCTTGTTGAACTGTGGCCACTTTAGCCAAAGTACAGCCAATATATAGGTAACTTAACACGATAAAAAGGAATGGAAGCCAAAAAATAAGAACTGGGTACAAACAACTAATGACAAAGCTGGGTGTATAGTCATTGCAGGCAAGTCGGTATATCTGGCCATGGTCACAGAAATAGCTGTTAATAACCACAGACTTACAGAAGGAAAGTCTCGTAAGAAGGCCAACTGCAATAAGCACAGCAATTATAACAAATACCCAGAAAGAGGCAATCAGAGACAGCATGAACCTGTGGGTCATCTTCACTTGATAATGCAATGGGAAGATGATAGCTATCAGTCTGTCATAGGAGAGTGCCAACCAGATTAAATGACTGCATTGAAAGGCAGGTGTAGGCAGAAAAAAAGGAACGTCAAAGCCATTGTTGTAGATGTAACGATGGTTAAACAGAAAGATGTCAAGAAGCTTTGGCACCAGAGCAGTGTTACCAAACAGGTCCACAAATGCTAAATTAAAAACTGCAATATATTTTGGAGTTCTCAGATTATGATCCAAGCATATTACAGCCATCACAATTGTGTTTCCCAGCACTGAAACAATGTAAACAAAAAAGAGAAAGACATAGTAATACTTGATATTAGGGATTCCAGATAAACCACTTATTATGAAATAAGCAGGATGCACAAAAGTGATGTTTTTCCCAAGAGCTGAGTTGAAAAGGTCCATTGTAAGAGCACAATGATTTATGCAGAGAAGTAGCTCCTTCTGTGCATCAGCACCAGGACTGTGTTGTCTTATGTAGATGGAGATGAGCTCTTCTCTCTCTTTCTCGTGACAGAGCTGCGTTATGTCCAGGTTTAACTGTCTTGACATGAGTGCCTACTAAAAGAAGCAGTCCTTTTTATTTCTGTCATATAAGACATAAGACATCTGTTCCCCTGTGTCTGCTGTAAGCCACTCATCATTATTAATGACTGCAATTATGTAATATATAATCTATGTCAGAATCCTGCACTGGGTCAGGTACCCGTTGGTTTTCCTATCACACAACTGACCACCAAGCTCCTCTTAGTTTGTATGCAGGGACATCATATTGTCTAAAGTGGAGAGAGATTTAGCAAACTGGCATGTTGCTTGATTGACATCGGTGCCCATCTGGTTGAGTTGATGCAGGAGCAATATAAACACGCCAAAACCTTTTTGCAATTTTGCTGTGTTAATCTTTTAAAATCTAAGCATACACACACAAAAAGCACAGCATGCTTTCAGACCAGGTCACTCTACGAGCAATGCATTAGTACACATGACTGATCAATGGTTAACGTATATGGATGACAGGAAACTAGTTTCAAGGGCTGTGCCCTTGGATTTAACTGCAACTTTTGATGTCATTGGCCACAGCGTTCTTATTGCCAAGCTTAAATGTTATGGTTTTTCACTTTTAGCTCTTGGTTGGATGAAGAGTTATCTATTAGGTAGAACACAGCAAGTGTTTCCTAATGACAGTGTCTCTGACAGCAAAAAGGTATCTTGCGGTGTTCCACAAGGGAATTGCATAGGGCCCCTTTTATTTTATTTTTTTCATAAATGATCAATATATTGTTAAAAATGCTGACGTAGTGATGTATGCTGATGATTCAACATTGTTCTGTGCATTACCCACATTATTGGAACTGAGAGAGAATCTACTTGTTGAGTTGGATGCAATAACTAAATGGGTGAAAATGAACAAATTGGTACTGAACATTGACCAAACTACTGCACTCTATAGATGGGGTATTTGTTGAGCAGGTCACTAAAACCAAATTACTGGGCGTTATATTAGATTAGATAATTTACTGTCTATGTCCGGCCTGATTGATTATATATTGTCTTTATGATGGGAAAGGGCATTGCTATTTCTACAAGGAAATGTTCTGCATATGTTTCACCTTCTGTTATGAATGATGTTGTTCGGTCACTTGTTCTGTCATACCTGGAGTATTGCCCAGTCATCTGCTTAAGTTCTGCTGAGAAATATCCAAAAGCAAATAGCACAGAACAGAGCAGCCAGATTAGTTCTTTATTGTTCTTTTCGTGTTAATGTGTGTGAGATACATAAACGATTATCTTGGCTTACTATAGAAGCTAAATTGAAATCTATTCTTCTGTTGTAAAGCGCCCTAATACACCACACTTCTTTTGTGAATGGACTTACAGAAGGAAAGTCTTGTAAGAATGCCAACTGCAATAAGTACAATAGTAATTACAAAGACCCAGAAAGAGGTAATCAGAGACAGCATGAACCTGTGGGTCACCTTCACTTGATAATGCAATGGGAAGATGATAGCTATCAGTCTGTCATAGGAGAGTGCAACCAGATTAAGTGCCTGCATTGAAAGGCAGGTGAAGCAGAAAAAAAGGACCTTGCAGTGGAGAGATCTCTTCACTCATCACTATCGAAACTATCTCTCCACCCAGCTACATATTCCATATATACAGGGATTCTGTAAGACACCTCACAAAGAAGCAGAGCAGTCACAGACTCACAAAACTATCACCGGTGCTCTAACCATACACACAACTCGATGAACCCACACCCGTGTTACAAACTATATACAGATATACAATATTTACAAACCCCTGTGCCGGCAGGACAGCAAGACAACACCACAACATTTGATCACAGTAAATCAATGTAGCTTCTGTATATGCTTTAGATTTTTCATCAAAAAGTATTCAAAATAAACTCCAGATACACAGTAATGTATCCTCCATCTATTTATCATATGCAGGAATATACATTGTTTGATCATAATTATTTGTTTTTTATATTAGCAATTTAAAAAACTAAATAATACATTTATTTGTGAGTTTTTTATCTTGCACCCTCAAATCTGCAACAGACAACAGAATAGATTGCTTTTCTAATTTTATACCCTACCTTAATTACAAATAATTAAAATGTATATAAATCAAAAATGTCTATAAATCAGATATTTTGTTTTTGAATAACTGCCAGCACATAAGATGACCCACAGGTTTCATGCTGGTCTCGATTGCATCTCTGGGTGTATTGGGGGGGATTATGGTTATTATAATTGCTGTGCCCCCCTTGTGTTGCAGCAGTTGGCTTCTTACAAAACTTTCCTTCTGTAAAAGTGCTGTGGTTTTAAAACAAGCTATTTTGTGAGCCCATTGTTATGCCCATGGCCAGAATCTTTATACCCGAATAGTTAGCTTTGCAATGAATAGATTTAGCTTGCAATGATTATACAACCCAAGCTTTGTCATTAGGTGTTTTGTTAACCCAATTTATATATTCTTTTGCTCCCTTGATATTTATCTTGTTAGTTAACCTATATATTTGGCTATTGCAACTGTCAAAAAGTAAGCCCACAGTTTCATGAAAAGAGTCAAGGGCCTTTAAAAACCTGGCCAACAGGTCATTCTTTCATTTAGTGGCCAATTTATTTCTGCCCCAATAAAATTTCACATTCACCTTGATGCGGAAATCATACATCAAATGCCAGAATTCCATAACTTGTCTCTGACTTCCATTTTTCCTCCCAGGCGTTAACCCAATACATTTAATGTTCTGGCAGACACAAGGAAATCAAAAAATCTATAAAAAAAGTTGGTTTAAAATCAGAGTCGCAATTCACAAATTTACAAACAGCAAAAAGTAACATACATGGTAGCATTTGTTGATGTTTTGGGCCTTTGTTGTTGGTTTGACATTGGTTTTTCATGACAGTGAAGGATGGCCAGTTCATGAGATCACTAGATTGGGTCTGGAAAATGGTATGTGTCATTTTTTATCAAGATAAGCAGTTGTTTAATGAAACAAATCAGCTGAAAATTAACAACCAAGTTTGGAAATGTAAGAGGCACAATACGAATAATAGACTACCAGTTATACTTCTCTTTACCGCAGTGATGAACTGATTAGGACGTCAATGATAGTGGCCTTGTGGTGAGAACCGCAAGTACAAGAAAGCAACTGATAATGTTCTCGTCTTTATCCGGAATGGTTTGATCCATTACAACAGAAGTTATCATATATAGGTTTCTTGATTCATTTTCAATGTTGATTCCCACAAAAACCATTGCCACCTCCAAGTATAGTCCTTACAGAAACTCCACATGCAAAACATGGTAAGTTTTAGAGGGAAATTTACAAGGCACATAAATAACTCTAAGGAAAAAAGTAGAGTGGACTGCATTTGTTTTCTTAGATTTGTAT